TCGCAGTTGGTTTTCTCGAAGAATATGCTCCTGCCGGTCCCGAATCCATCCCTAAACAGCTAATGCTGTAATCATGTCAATTGTTGCAAAGAAAAGAAACCGTTCCTAAAACACACAATGCGAAACATATGCCGCCGACGTGCCGTGTTGTGCCCGAGTGCCGTGCCAAGCCTGGTGTGCAAAATGCGAGGCATGTAATGCCACCGCGCCGTGCCCGAATCCCACGCCGTGCCTAAATTCTAGAATGTAGCAGATGCGCCGAACCATGCCGTGCCGTTTCATGCCGCCGATCTGGCGTGTGAGTTTCAAAGACCCTCCGAACAACCTGAGCCTTAATTCGTGAGCTTCAGCTGTGCTGGGGGGTGGGTGCCGGGGTGGCTCTGCCGGGGTAAGGGGGGGGGGTAGGGGGGGGTTTGATTTCATTCCCGGGGCGGAATCGGGGCTCCAGCTCACTCCAGGACGGCCCCCTCGCACATGAGGGCCCCAACATGTGCCAAGAGGGCCCCGAATCGCCAAACGATCGCTAGAAGATGTCCTGATGACGGCTCCAGAACCTCCAAAATGCCCTCAGAAACCACGAAAAGGCCTCCCGACAAAAAGGCCCAAAGAAGCAACGCGTGACCCATTCCCTTGGGGAAACGTGCAATTTTAGCATATTCGCCTCTTGGGCCTTCAAAGCGTCGCAAACGCCCCAGGAGAGCCCCAAAACGGCTCAAGAAGCCGCCAAGCGGGCCCCAAGACGGCCCAAAAAGAGCCCAAGCTGGCCCAGGGGGCCCCCGCAAAGGCCCAAGAGTGCTTCCACAACGCTTACGTCTGAACACAAGCGCTGCAATACAAAAGGTTTTTCCACGCTGTCACATATTCTCCTGTCGTCGGTGTCCTTCACATCCATGATCTCCCAGGGGCCCGCAAAGGACTGCGCGAAGGCCCCAAAGACCCCCAAAACGCCATGGTTCCCAGCAGAGACTGGTGATGCACAAGGCTCCACAGAAAACTGCGACGCAGGCAGCTCTAGCACGAAGCTTTTCAGAGAGTGCGCCAACTCGGCGAGGTGCCAACCCATAGAGAGCCAACGCCTGGCCCCGAAAACGCTTTCCAAAAACCGCCGAACATCTCCAACCACCGCCGAACATCTCCTCAGCCTCGTCATGCTCCTCCTTCTCTCCCGCCCCCTCTTCCACTTCCCGCTTCCTCCTATTCCTCCTCATCTTCAGCATCCTGCTACTCCTGCCCCTCCCCCCTCCGCCCCCCTCCACCTCATCATGATCCTCTTCCTCCTCATCCTACTCCGTTGCCTCCAATCCCAATCCTGATCAGTATCCTCAGCGCTCACCGTCGTCGCCGGTCATGGCCGCCATCGTGCGCTTCCGGCAGCAACGGAAACGTCCCGGGTCGGCGGCACTGGCGGGAAGCCAGTACAATAACAAATGTGCTGAACCATGCCGTGCCGTTTCATGCCGTGCCCGCGTGCCGTGTCGAAATTTTAGACTGCGAGAAATGTGCCATGCCGTGCCGAGCCCGCGTGCCATGCCTAGGTTCTAGAATGCAAAAAATGAGCCGAGCCGCGTGCCGTGCGGTGCCTATTTTCTAGAATGCGAAAAATGAACCGTGCCATGCCGTGCCCGCGTGCCGTGCTGCGCCGAAGCTCTGGAATGCGACACGTGTGCCGTGCCAGGTTCCTCGCGGCACTGACCACCCACACCAAGTGCGCCCCCCTTTGATGTTGAATCACCACGTGGTTTAGGCTCTTTTTGTACGGTGCAAGCAACGCTGTATTGGGTAGATTTGACTAGCCGCCCATGGCTGAAATAGAAAAGCAGACTCGGAAAAATAAACAGGGAAGTAAGAAGGAACTACCCATGTTGGAAGTAAGCAGCAATCCGCCAACATTCCAATCTTCGCGATGTCCATCTGGCGTTGCATGACAATGCGTGTGGTAGGTGTGTTACGTGTGATGTGCTCTGGCGATGCATTAGCTCATGCGCGCAATGGCCATGGCGTCTGTCGGCCCGGAGCGGTCGGATATCAAATGATTTAAGACACGCGGCCCCAATAGGACTGTGCATGCTCGGCCTTGGACTGGACACGCCCGTACGCATGGCCTATGCAATATAGCCTTGGTCCCAACCGACGGGCTTGTCCTTTGTGCATGAATGATGCTAGACATGTTATCAGTAGCCGGGCACCTGTGAACAGTCGCAACGGTAGCTGTTGCGCATGTCGCGGTATATCGTCACGCTATGGTGATTGCAGTCTGCTGTAACCGATGATCGTGGACATGCGGCTGGATTCTGCAGCCGAGTTGAGGCGCTGTCGCGGTGGCAAGATTTGCCGCAAGCAACTGGATACATGAGCAACGGGATCGCCGAATGTCCCGACACAGAGACGGTGCAGAACCAAGCCAAGGGATGCACCGCAACAAGTTCGAGTATACCTGATTTCTCTTCCTCCCTTATCCTTTACCCTCTCCGCCCATCCTCCCCCTCGCCCGCTCTCTCCTCCGTTCGCTGCTGCTCCCTTTGTGAACATCTTTTTTCCTTGTCGCATATCAATGTCGATTCAGGCTCGCCTTCCTCCTCATCGACACCATGTTTCCTCCCTCCCTCCCCTCCTCCCCCATCCCCCCCTGGGGGCAAACCTCAACATGGCAATACTTATTCGCAGTGGGTTAGCATCATGGCCTCCCCTCAGCCATACTGAAAGCAACTGTTCGTCCAATGCCAAGCTGCCAACCGCAATACCTTGGGGCTCTGGCCGGGCATGCGGGGCCGTTGTGGAAGAAAGCTTGCCAGCGCAAGTGGGAGGTTACAGCCAGCATCGCCAACAACGAAAACCGATTGTGACCAGTCAGCAACTGCGAAGAGTTGGGTGCCCAAGTAGAAAGGGAATCCAGGCGGGAGGTAGGAATGTGCAGCGGATGATGATGATGAGGAGGAGGAAAAGGAGGAGGATGAGGAGGACCAATGTAAACCCAAGACACATCAACGATGTTGGAATCTATATATACCCCCCAGGTTCTCTCTTCATAGGCCCCGACAGGGATTTATTTCCACTGAAGGAAGTGCCCCGTTTGGAGACAACCGTTTGAAAATCTTGAAGCGTGCCAAAACAACATTGTCGGGACTGCAACGCCACGAATGAACCTTACTGTTACGTCCTGGCGATCCTAACTCGTGCCAGAACACCATCCCTGGGACTTCAACGCCACGAATCAGCGTAACTGTGCGCCCTGACAATCCTGAGTCGTTCTAAAACACCGTCCCTGGTACGTTAAACATGGGAGTCCGTGAGACTCTGGTACACTTTTGAAACCACATTTTGAAAACGAGCCGCCCTCCATCCGTGAAGCACTTGCAACATTTGAAACAGATGTGTGCGGCGCTAACGCGAGAGCCACATTTGAAAATCACCCACCCTCCATCCGTGAAGCTCTTGCAAATATTGAAACGAATTTGCGCGGCGCTAAAACGAAAACAACATTTTGAAAATCACCCGCCCTGCATCCGTGAACCCCGTGCAAAGTTTTAGAACGAGCTTCTGCGGCGCTAAGGCGAGAGCCACATTTTGAAAACGACCCGCCCTCAATCCGTGAAGCCTTTGCAAGCTTTTAAACAAATGTGCGCGGCACTAAGGCGAGAGCCACATTCTGAAAATCACCCGCCCTCAAAATGTGAAACTGTTGTCGCTTTAAAAGCTTCAGGGCCGTAAATGGTAAAGAAGTCTCAGGCGAACCGCCCGGCCCGCTCTTTCGACCAGCCTCGCGGTGCGACAGGGAGGAATTATTCAGAAGGAAAAGTATGGAGTAGGAGGAGGAGGAGGAAGAGGAGGAGGAGGAGGAGGAGGAGGAGGAGGAGGAGTGCACTGGCCAGAGGGGACGCCGGTGTATTTGGCAGACCCGATCCGAATACTCTACCGAAGGAATCCCGAAGACAGCCTGAGCAGTACAACGCCTTATACACAATATACCACGGCAGCAACGTAAATGAGGCGACGATGGACGGATATCCAGCAGAAGTCATACAAACGATACTGGGAAACGAAGATGCGTCACGTGGTGTCGCGCCGAAGCGCCTGAGAAGCGGAGTGGGGTTCGCGAGAGGAGCGACCGCCTGTCCTGCCATGCGGCCGCGGTATCTTAGCCGAAGCGCCAGCCATTCCCCGCCTGGCCGAGGGTGCCATACGAAACATCTGGTTCTCTGAGGCGGCAGCGGGCGGACTCGCACTGGCAGGACTCCTGCTCCTGGAGCAAGCGGTCGTCGCCGTGACCTCGGCCGTGCTCTCGGACACCGCGCCCGCAGGCAAATCCCGCCGGTGGCCCGGTCTCACCCCGTGCCTCGTCCCTGCGCCTGCGCTCGGCGATCCTTGGGTCGTCATGGGCAGGCGTGCCGAGCCGGGGCGGGGCGGGGCGGCCGGAGACGTCGGCTTCGGCCATCGTCGCGAGAACGGCCTCTGGAAGGTCGAGGCCGTCGGCGTCGTCGAAACCGTGCGGCCGGGCGGGGCGGTCGCCTGCACGACGGCCTCCTCGCGGGAGAAGCACGCGAGACGACGGGCTCATATCGAGGAAATGCGGAGCACGTTCGCGCCATCCTCCATGGATAGAGGAAAGAGAACTATGCACATACACCGATTCTGGCCAGGCCCATCCTCAGCCCAGGATCGGTGCATACGCCCTCCTACCTTGGCCAGGAAGGCATATGCACCGATCCTGGGTCAAGAATGGGCCTTGCCAGGATCGGTGCATGTGCATAGTTCTCTTCGCCCGAATGGAGGGGCGGTCCACCCCGGGGCCCGAACCAAAGCAGGGGGACAAGTCGGTCACGTACCGCGTCGGCCTCCGCGTGAGAGACCAGCACTCCTCGTCGGCCTCCGCGTCGGGGACCGCGCCGGCTTCAGCGCCGGCTTCAGCGAAAGAGTCATGCCCCTTCTGACGGACACCATCGGCAACAAGATGGCCAGATGATTCCCAGAAGGAACATCGTCAAGCTGAGGATGGAATGCGCCAGCCTCCGCGCAAGACTCGTGCACCCTACCGTGGGCGGCCAGAAAAGGGAGGAGATGGGTCTGGTAGTCGTGGGCGTCCTCGTCGTCGATGGTGCGTTCGATACAACTCATGTCTGTAGCAGCCTCGAAGTGGCGCATCTTCATGTCGGTCTGGCACTCGTTCTCCTCGCTGCAGATCGTGCAAATCCTGGCCTGGACTCTGGGGGCTTCTGAGGTGTGCTGGCTGATGCCGTCTCTCACCGCTGCATCATTTTTCTCTCCGTCAGGCTGTGGCGCATGATGAGCGAGGCCATGGTTGCAAGCATCACTATGAGCCGAACTATCGGTGGGGACATCGGTGAAGTTCTCCGCCTTCAGTGACAGCGAACCCAGGGGCCGATCCAGGCTGGCCGTAACCTCCATCATCACGGAGTTGAAGGTGAAGTCGGCTTTCTGCGCGTGCATGTGCCTGGCCACTTGGAACGCGACGTCCACGCGAAGGAGGGGGACCGCCGTGCGGCTCGAGATGTCCCGCCGCAGCCGGAGCATGCGAGCGATCTGGCTGATGCCCTCCGGGGGGTCCTGTAGCAACGGCGCGCGGGTGTGAAGCAGCTGGCCATGCAGCTCGTAAATAAGCAAGTCTGCAGTGAGAGATGCCGTACAAGAGAAAGGAGAAACATATCAGGAGCTGTTTCTCTCTTCTCTGGATGAGGAGGAGGAGAAGAGGAGGAGGAGGAGGGGGAGAAGGAGGAGGAGGAGGAGGAGGCTGAGGCGGACGAGGGGGACAAACAAACAGGTTATTGATGCGCGGCCCCCCCTGCGGGCCTCAGTCGTGTTAGGCTTTGTTGTGCTCGATGGTTTGCAAGGAATCAAATTGCATGCTAGGGTTGCTTGGGCTAGGAATCAAATTGCATGGCCAATAAGGCACGCAAATTGTATGCTGGGGCTGCTTGGGGTGGCCTCGCGCGAACTCCGCAGCCGGCGCACCATGCGCGCGATGCCTCCTGGGAGCCCCGCCCGCACGTCGGGCCTCGTGGGCCTCCAGATGCCCTCAGGAGGAGGAGGAGGAGGAGGAGGAGGAGGAGGAGGAGGAGGAGGAGGAGGAGGAGGAGGAGGAGGAGGAGGAGGAGGAGGAGGAGGATGGCCCCTCGAGCGCGGTCTTTTCGCCAAATGATCAAGGATGCTCCTCGGTGGTCCTCGCCGGAGGAAAAAATGCACATGTCCGAGCGATGCCAGGCCTCAGCTCGGCGCACCCTCGGCGCACGTCGTACCCCTATGGACTCCCAGAGGCCTCCAGTCCAGCCGGGCCCCCGGAGCTCCCACGAGGGGCCCCGAGCCGCCCGGGAAGGCCACGGGGTGCTCCAAGGCTCCAGCAGGTCCCCGCGGAAGGCCTCGAGAGGCACCACTTGCAGTGGCTTCTGCCGGCCCTCCCACCAGCGGCAAGCACGGGGGGGGGGGGCAGGCAGAGGGGACGGGCCTTCTCAGGAGGCTCGGAAGGCCTCGGCCTTCTTAGAAGTTTTCCAAGCCGCCCCGAAGACACAGCAAAGCTTCTCAGAGGCGTCGAGGGCTTCTGAGGAGCCCGCCGCCTTCTGAGAAGGCCTCCTTCTTGTCGCTTGCCCCCCCTCGCTCGCCGCTGATTCAGAATGGCCCCCAGACTGCCCAAGGGCCGCCAAGACGAACCCGACGAGGCCATACGAGAATCCCTCGAGCGCCCAAAGCGGGTCCAACGAAGGCTTCAAACTGACGCCAATACAGGCCCAGGTGTTCGGCCGCACGCTTGTCGAGGCCGAGCCCCGAAAACTCTCCCATTGCAGAATTCCCAGGCTCTTCCTCCCCCCCCCTCGTGGGGTCCCACCGTGACTCCCGCTCTGCGGGCTCACTGTGGTCTCACTGTCGCATCGCTGCTGCACGAGCAGCCCCGCTTTTCCAGCCAGGCCCAGCGAGCTCATCCCCAGACTTACGATGTTCCAACCTACTTTAGCCTTGATCACCAGAAAGAATTTCGAGCACTACAAAAAATACCGGAACTCGAGGGTTTTCACGTGTCGGGCCCTGGGAGACACTCGCCCGACACTGTTTCGACACTCTTTCGACACTTTTCCGGGTGCTCGAAATCATTTCTGGGATGTGGTCCTTAAGTGGGATGGGAACAAAATAACCCCAGACCCGGCACCTGCGAGCCCATATGTTTTGGCCTCGCGGCCCTCAGGAGCAACAGCCCTTCGGAGGCCAACGCTTGCACGGATGGAGGCGGCGCCCGATCAGCATGGGGCTCTCGCCCGGGAGCCGCGCACAGTCGTCTCAAACGCTCGCATCAGGCACAGGGACGGAGGAGGAGGAGGAGGGGGAGGAAGAAGGGGAGGAGGAGAAGGGGGAGGAGGGGGAGGAGGAGGAGGAGGGGGAGGAGGAGGAGGGGGAGGAGGAGGAGGAGGAGGAGGATGAGGATGAGGAGGAGGAGGATGAGGAGGAGGAGGCCTCCTTAGATGGCAAGGCCAGAGGTGCCAACGTACGCAGCAGCTGCGCGGACGGAGGGCAGCTCCCTCTGAGCACGGGGCTCTCGCTGAAGCCTCCCTCGAAGCTCACTGCCAGAAGCGTGAACCAGTGCAGCAGCTGCACGCACGGGGGCGGCCTTCTTCTCAGAGCGGGGAGCTTGCCGGATACCTCGGTGAGCAGTATGACCATACGTCAGGTTCGTGTCGTGCTGACTTCGGCGTTGGTTTCTGACACCGCGGGGATCTTTCAACCTTGAACGATCGGCCGCTTCCGAAACGTCCAAATCGTTCCACATCGAACGATTCTGGGTCGCCCGCGGCGTTCAAAATTGAACGCCGCTGGCGGGGTCGCCGCCGCATTCCATGTTGTGCGCTAGATGGGTGCGAGTCAATTCCCTTTCGTGGCGGAGCTCTCGCCAGACCGACAGGCCCATATGGCACTGGTCTTTCAAAGGGCGCTAGTGAAAAGGGAAGCTTGTAGGGACTTATGAGGGGGGGACTTTGGACGGGACGGTGTATTGCAGCATCGCTGATGCATCGTGGACTTACTCTGGTCCTCCTTTCGGCTCCTTCCTCCACCGCCTGCCCCTCACTCTTCTTCTTCTTCTTCTTCTTCCTTATCTTCCTCCTCCTCCTGCTTCTCCTGCTCGCCCAAGCCTTCTCCTCCTCTCTCCTTCCTCATCCCTTCTCCCTCTCCCCCAGCGCCTTGGGCTGGCAGACGTGACCCACGTCGCGTGCTGCAAGCACGCCGATGCCAATAGAGGCGCACCATCTTTACGGTCCTGCTGGGGAGCAGCCGGGGATCGGCGGAAGGGCGTGTTGGCAGGGGGGTGGGGGGAGGGGGAGGGGCATGGTGGCGAGAGGGGCTGTGGGAGATGGGTGGGAGAGATCGATGACCCAAGAACCAAATGACTGTTGTCGGTTTTGGGTCCCCCAAAGCTTCCGGAGGCCTCCGGGGGGCCATGGGGACCTCTGGGGGCGTCAAGAAACCTCCAGACGCCTGTGGATGCCAGGAGTGGGGGGTTGGCAGAAGAAAGGGCGAAGGAGGGGGAGGTGAGGAAGGAGGGAGGGGTAGGGGGATCGGGGGGGAGCGGGAAAGCAGAGGGCAGGGGAGGCGGGGAGCAGGAGGGGGAGGGCGGGGAAGGGACGGCAGGAGTGGAGGAGGGGGGAGGGTGGGGGCGAGGCAGGGACCAGGGGGGAGGGGGCGGGAGGGGAGCGGAGGGGAGGGCACCGGGGGAGGGCCGCGGTGACGAGGGGGCTGGTGGGATGTAGACGACACTCTGCGCTGCAGCACTCCGAGACTGCCCGGCCCCCGACCCGCTCAGACCAGGGCGGGGCCTCTTGGAGAGCGCCTCTCGGGCTCCCTCTCGCTCGCCCGCCGAGCTGTGCGCCGAAGGCCGAAGGGCGTCTGGGCGCAACTGAGGCCCATCGCTTTGACGCGTGGTATCGCCTGAAGCGGTCATCTTTGCGCCTCGTTGCTTTGGTTGAGATGCAGGCGCGTCAACAGTCTGTCATCAAGCTTCCGGGCGGCAATCGCGAGCCACACACCAGTGGGGTACTCCCCTCCCCCTCACATCCTCCCCAGTGCTCGAGCTAAACGGTGCTTTTTGTTTTCGTTTTGTTTTCGTTTTCCTTCGTTCTCGAGCTGAAGCACCGTTTAGCTCGAGACTTGATCCTCCCTTCGGCTCTGGTCCCACTCCCATCTTCGCCCTCTCCTCTCCTCTCCCCTGCGGGACCCCACTTTCATTCTGCGCAACCTGGGTCGGACAAATCGTGTGTGGGCGCGCAACCCCCTCTCGTCAGCGCGACAGGATCATTAGGGATGTGCCGCAAGGATGCGCTGATCTTGGACGCCCATGTTGAACCGTTTCAAGCGGAGACAGTCACCGGTAGTGGCAACACATGAACCGAGCTTGCAAGAATGCAGCGGTGCCCATGCAAGACTGCTCAACCTTATGGTCCTGTCTGACTGTGCTTATCTTGCTCGGCCGCTCGCCCCTGGCACTCTATCATTCTAGACTTGCTCCCTCTTCCTGCCACCTGCCCGCCCGAAACTCGGCGGCGCGCCCGGGGGGAAAGGAGAAGGAGAAGGCCTTCTCAGAAGCCTCGGGGGTCCCCCGCCCTTCTGAGCAGTCTTCTGAGCCTTCCCCGAAAAACACGCAGGAACCCTCCCGGAAGGCGCGAGAGGGCTTCTGAGAAGTCCCGCCGCCTTCTGAGGCCTTCTCCTCTTCACTCCCCTCCCTCGCTCGCCGCCGAGAAGGCCTCGCCGTGCTGCAGCCGAAGGGCCCGCCAGATGTCAAGGGGACGGGCGCGCCTGCACGCCCCTGATGAAGCCGGCGCCGTAGCTGCCTGGCGTGGGGGCCCACGGCCACTGCTGTTGACGTTCGCGGGACCAGTTCCTCCTCCTCCTCCTCCACCTCCTCCTCCTCTTCCTCCTCCTCTTCCTCCTCCTCCCTCTCCCTCTCCCTCTCCCTCTCCCTCTCCCTCTCCCCCTCCCTCTCTCTCCCCTCTCCTCCTCCTCCTCCTCCTCCTCCTCCTCCTCCTCCTCCTCCTCCTCCTCCTCCTCCTCTCCTTTTTCCTTATAAATTCGCCGGCCCATAGGGCCAGAGGCGTGCTAAGATCTCGGGTAACTGGTTCACAATTCTTCTAGTTCGGGCGCGCGGGGCGGCCCCTGGGGGTCCCCCAGCGAAAAGTACCCCGACCGCAGCCCGGGAAGGTCCCGGCAAGGTGTACTCAGAGATGGTTTTACTCCTGGGTACGGCCTCTCAGGCCCCCCAGAGCGCGCCAAGAGGGCCCCAAGAGGCCCCCAAGACTGCCCAAGAGGCCCCCGAGACGTCCAAAGGACGCTCCAAGACGCCGAAGATGATCCCAAGACGGCCCAAGATGCCGCCAAGACGCTCCAAGTGGCCTCCAAGAGGCCTCACAAGAGCGCCCCGAGAGGCCAAAATCATAAATTTCACGATGGTTTTGGAAGGATTTTGGCCTTGTCGCATTTTCGGCTTTCCGATGCTCCAAGACCGCCCAAGAGGCCCCCAAGAGCGCACGAAGACGGCTCAAGAGGCCCCCAAGAAGGCCCCCAGAGAGCCCAAA